CTTCCCAGACGTGGTGTGCTTTATCCGTGCGTCCGCGGAGAGGCAGAGACAGGGCGGATATTCCTCCTCGCTCCTCCGGCGCGGAGGCATAGAAGGATGTGGAGGAGCAACCCGCTTCCACGACGACACTCCCCGACTGAGACACTGCCTCTCTCCCCCCTTTCCTCCCTCCCTCTCGTCCTCCCTCCCTCCCTCCCTCCCTCTCTTCACTGGAAGAACAGGGGCTCTGTGGCGATGGCACATGCAGCCGCTGCAACACACAGGCAGCAGATCCACAGATATGCAGCTGCAGCTCAGACATGTGAACTTTACACCGACGTCACATCCAATGCACACATGTCACATGTATGTCAGGAGGATGATGAATCAATACATGTATGTGATCCATCGCTGCAGCTCTTCTGTTCGTGTGAAGCAGCTGCTCACTGGGACTTTAACATTTCACTCGTGTTTTGTGCCAAGAAAAGAAAATGTGCAATGTTTTTATCTCACGTTCAAATGTCTTTGTGTTTATTTTGGTTTCATTATCATGATGTAGGCACAGACACACGCAAATAAGACATATGAGCATCAATCATAATGATTATTTATTTTAAATATCTTCCTCTTAACATATTTATGAAATTCTTATTCACTTTTTTATTGCAGTTTAATTTGTGCGCTCCTTCTATCTCACAATAACAATAAAGAAATCCAGTTTGACTCTATTGTTACCATCCTACTTCTGTGCATAACATTTTCATTAAAGCATTGATTATAATGGTTTTGTGAGTTCTAATCAGTGACATTAAGAACAGTTCATTAATTAGTTCAGTGATTAAACCTTAAATAACTCCAGGTTTCTTTCTGGCAGACTCAGCTCACATGTGTGATAAATATTCATTTGCACTTCCAAATTGCGTTAAGACACAAATAAGAGACGATGGATTTCCCTGTTAGCTGAAAGACAAAGTACATAAAAGGTTGTACAATAATCTGCCATGTCCTTAGTTATAATTGTTAAAAAGATGTTTATACATCCGTTTCCGTCCAGAGGTCGTTCTGCCCTTCGCCTGATGGTGAAACAGTCGATTGGAAAAGGTCTAAAAAAAAAAAAAACTGAATGCTTTAGAAAAGGTTTCTCACAACGTGATGAATTCATCATTATCAATCTGTTATAACTGTAATGGAGCCATTCTTCACAGTTCACCAGTTCGTTTGGTTTATAACAAATCCTCTCCATGTGAGAAAGGACATATTGAAGTATACTGAAATATTGATCTCATAAAGTTGCAGTTCATCCTCTGGGGAACGTGAACGTTTGTACGAACACAGATATCGTTCAGAGGGAAGTGATCGGAGACAGGAAACCACGACTGAAGTAATAAGAGACACCTCTTCACTAATTCAATGTCACCTGCGACACTTGATTTCAATATATTTCAAAGTAATGTGCAGTAAAGTTTTCATGTCAGTTCTACTGACTGCCACTGTCGTTAGTATCTTATCCTCATTTCTGTTGATATATACTACGAGGCACTGGCTCTGCATTACTTGGTGTACACTTAATGTTACTACAGTACACTTGTACTTTTATTTTCATCTTCACTTGTGTTTTAGACTCAATTACTGTGTTTATTTACTGTATTCTACTTTATGTCGCTCTGTGTTTTTATCTTGGAGCAAGCTGGCAAAGGTACTTCCTTTGGGAGTAATACAATCTTATTTTATCTTATTAAATCACATGTTTCTTTGTATTTTGATATGTTTGTGTACGTTCTGAGATTATTTGGACGTATACGATCATACAAACACTGGAACACCTTGTATAGATGTTGAGATGTGTCAGTGACGGACCAGTGATCGTCACCATTCAGCGCCTGAACATAAATACGGAGATAAACGGCTAAACTGTTGCACCGAATCTGTAAAACAGAACCAAAATATACGAGATGGAGTTGAAGGGATAAATGAGACGGTGCTCGTGGAAGCCGTCGAGGAACAGACGTAGTTAAAATTAACAGAGGAAGCAGAGGTGGTGCATTGTGCAGCTTTATGTGTTTCTCCCCTGGTTTTCCCCTCCGGCTGTTTCACTGGTCGTATCACGCCGTCATCGTTTCCTGAGAGTAAACACTGCATTTATTTTCTGGGTGTGAGTTTGTGTCACATTCCTTGAATTTCACTTTTACTCTGGTGGAGACGTCCACGGGCCGCGGAGCTGTCACCTGTGTGGGGACTCTGTCTCCAGAGCGGTCCAACGGTTAAAGTTGATTTTGAATCTGTTGTCGTTGAGGCAGGTTGAATGTAAAATGTCCTCACATATAAATCAGTCAGCGGCGTCTGTGAAATGTGTTTTACTCACTTCAAACATGTTTGAAGACGCTTTTAAATACGCAGCTTGGAATTATTAAATGTGTCTGATAACAGTTGAGTCGTTAAATTAAAAATTACTTCTTCTTTTGCCCGTTGAAATGTGGGCAGACTGTGAATATGCAGATAATTCATTTCTACACTTCAATCACTGAAAACAAGACGTCTCCAGTTTCACCAAAAAGTTTTGTGAGTGTGTGTGTGTGTGTGTGTGTGTGTGCTGGCGGCTTCAAGTTTCCATGTCACTCTTGTGTTCGGCCTCGTTTTGCACCATGATTGGTTTCGTCGTTTTCCTCAAGTTTAACTTTGAGCAGATGAAACTTTGTTCGTCCTGAAGACGGATGTGAAAACGCTCGACTCTGACGCGTGAATCAGTCTGAGCGGTGAAGGTCAAACATCCGGGTGAGAGATAAAATCAGATAAATGACGAGCGTCGGAGCGGCGATGCTCAGAGTGACATCATGACGCCGCATTCTCCTCAGATGATCATAAATTATTCGTCAGTTTATTTGGGCCGTAGGTCGTCTGCGTGTGTTTTCTCCGACTGGAAGCAAAGACACCTGGGAAAAGCATTTTTTGAAATATCATTATGTTGCTGGTGACCTTTTGTAAAACATTGCGATTTTAAAAAAGTCCATGTTTCATCTATTTTAATGTTTTATATCTTTATATTCTTCATTTGTCTGAAACCAACTAACCTCATTTCAACCATGTAACTTTGAAACAGCATTTTATAAAGTGTGGAATTAACAGTTTATTATCATTACTGCTAATTATATAACGTTATATGAAGGGAATCATTGTTTGATCGATATGCTCTCAGAGTCTCTGGAGCCGTGTTGTTTGGTTGTAGCTTGTTTTTCGGACCTTGGTTTTGTTGAGCTTGACCTTCGACCATTAAGCGTCTCAGGTTGATCATGTGGAGACATGAAAGTCATATTCTCAGCAAGTGTTGGTGAGAAACACACAGAGCTAAGTTGAAACTCAATCAGGAGGTGAACTGGATAATTTATTCCACTAATTCTATTTTTTCTCACAGGAGAAAATCGATTCATAACCTAAATTAAAGTTCACATTTACTTTATTAGTGCTAGTTACCGCTGTGAAGTAAAGGTATGAGAAACACGCGGCGCAAGGTTTACCAAGCAATAATCACACAGTCATTAAAATTAAATTAAAATGTTCTAACACCAGTTTCCGAACAGGATGTATACAATTCACAGTACTGGTGCGGAACACCCAGCTGAAGATAAAGAAGGAATATATATATATATATGTATATATACTGAGATGAAGTACAGTATATAAAGTACCGCTCCTCTGTGGTAACAGACACAGATGAGAAAGAAGAGGAGGCAGATTTTGAAGAAGCTCAGTTTCACGTGTTTCTGCTTCTCCCTCCGGCTCTGACACATTTTACTGCTTCACCACCAACGTCACTTCATTCCACAAGTAAACGCAGTTTTGTTTTGGTGTGAGAGCGCTCGTCAGGTCTGTGGTATTTTTTTTTTTATGAAATGAAAACGTACACTTAAAAAAGAGAGCGGTTTGAATATAATGGTAAATTGTGAGGAACCCAGGAAAAGAGACATCAAGTGAAAACTATAAAGAGAAACTCATCCTCTGTAGATTTTTTTTTTTTTTTTTTTTGTGTCACAGTCGCAGACACTGAAAATAAATCCGCTCTCTTTTATCTCCTGGAATTAGTGTGTTTTGTCAACTGTGTCTGTGCAAATACATTTACATTTAATTTCAAGTCCAGCGTCCTGTAACGGAACGGAGACTGAAGTGAGAAGTTTACAGGCAGGTTCCCGAAACAAACACAGGGACGGAGAGGAAATGCATCTCCGGCAAATTAGAGCCGGTTAACTGCAGCGTAACCTTGAGTCATTATTCAGAGCGCATGCAGTTCAGCTGAATGTGGGAAAATTACAGATAAGAGTTTAAATGCAAAGAATAATTATACAAACAATGTGTGTTTACTGTACTGGGGTTCATTTAAAGATAGAACTTAGAAAATAAACCTCTACTATTACGTTAAACGCTACTACTCTATTAATTTGATGAATTACTTGCAATTATAATTTTCATCGGGACTATGGGCTGTTTGTAAAGTCGAGCAGCGAGTCTCCGCTTCCTCCCACTACCCAGCAACGAAGCCAAAACGTCCCAGATGCAAACGCTGACGCCTCGTGCGTTTATAGTTTGTGATGTTAGATCAGGTGCATGACGTGTGTTTACCTAGTTTTTAAACGCATTATAACAATGATGACACAGATACAGGAAAGGTTGCTGACACAGAGCAGAGGATCGTCGACACGGCTCAGAGTTAGGATTCATCCGGAGCCACGTTTGAGTTCCAATACTCAACCCTCTCCTTTCGGCTGTGTTGTGATCTCCCTCAGCTCCTGAGGGAAATATCTGCCTCTTAGCTGCTAAATGCTCCAGCGTGCTCGTATCTATATTTGCTGACTGTGTGCTGCTGGGCGTACAGTGGCATGTACAGTCAGATACAGAGTCACATGCAGCAGGAAACAGTGGATTACTGGAGCTTAGTTCCCTGATGGAAAAAAGCTGCTCGCTGCAGAAAGAAATGTTGCCAATGACAACGGGCAGTGAAAAACAAAGCAAAGGGTTCAAGATGTTAAGAC